AGAAAACAATTTATTTCCTTTTAGCGAGAGTGTCAGGCAACGCTTTATATTCGCTGATCACCCGCGGCTGAGCGTCTGTACTGCCTGTTGGATCACGTCCATTTGACTATTAAATTGCGATCCTACTACTAATAACAATAATTTCAACAGATACATAATAAATGAGCTATAAAGGTCACGTGACCTGCCACTGGCAGCTGCCAGCAGTAGGGGTTCAATCTTCAACTGGCTGGCAGGAGCTGCCACTGGCAGCCGCCAGTGAGCCACTGGCAGCGACTGGTGACCTGCCAGTGGCAGCTCCTGTGACCTGCCAGTGGCAGCTCCTGTGACCTGCCAGTGGCTGACTGGCAGCTGCCAGTGACAGCTGCCAGTCAGCCACTGACGGGTCACGTGACCTGCCAGTGGACCTGCCACTGGCAGCGACTGGTGACCTGCCAGTGGCAGCTCCTGTGACCTGCCAGTGGCTGACTGGCAGCTGCCAGTGACAGCTGCCAGTCAGCCACTGACGGGTCACGTGACCTGCCACTGGCAGCGACTGGTGACCTGCCAGTGGACCTGCCAGTGGACCTGCCACTGGCAGCGACTGGGGACCTGCCAGTGGCAGCTCCTGTGACCTGCCAGTGGCTGACTGGCAGCTGCCAGTGACAGCTGCCAGTCAGCCACTGACGGGTCACGTGACCTGCCACTGGCAGCTGCCAGTGACAGCTGCCAGTCAGCCACCGACAGGTCACGTGACCTGCCACTGGCAGCTGCCAGCAGTAGGGGTTCAATCTTCAACTGGCTGGCAGGAGCTGCCACTGATGCCGTGTCGTGTACTGCCAGTCGGATCACGGCCATTTGACTATTAAATTGCGATCCTACTACTAATAACAATAATTTCAACAGATACATAATAAATGAGCTATAAAGGGAGGAAAACAAAACACAAATACTGTCAAAAATCAATGGTTTCTGAAACTTGCCAAAGGCAGACTGACAGACAACCACTGGCAGCTGCAAGTCTGACACTCACAGGCAGGCACATTTGACTGGTTTAATCGGGATAAACGGCCCCAAAAATACCAATCATACACAAGAATAAAGGCATGACATTATATTCATAATAAGAAATTTTTTATTTCCTTTCAGCGAGAGTGTCAGGCAACGCGTTGTATTCGCTGATCACCCGCGGCTGGCTGGATGAGCGTCCAGCAAGCGTCTGCAAGCTGCCAGTCGGATCACGGCCATTTGACTGGTTTATTCGGGACAACAGTACCCAAAACACCAATCATACACAAGAATAAAGGCATGACATTATATTCATAATAAGAAAACAATTTTTTTCCTTTTAGCGAGAGTGTCAGGCAACGTTTATATTCGCTGATCACCCGCGGCTGAGCGTCTGTACTGCCAGTCGGATCACGGCCATTTGACTATTAAATTGCGATCCTACTACTAATAACAATAATTTCAACAGATACATAATAAATGAGCTATAAAGGGAGGAACACAAAACACAAAACTGTCAAAAATCAATGGTTTCTGAAACTTGCCAAAGGCAGACTGACAGACAACCACTGGCAGCGACTGGTGACCTGCCAGTGGCAGCTCCTGTGACCTGCCACTGGCAGCTGCCAGTCAGCCACTGACAGGTCACGTGACCTGCCACTGGCAGCTGCCAGCAGTAGGGGTTCAATCTTCAACTGGCTGGCAGGAGCTGCCACTGGCAGCCGCCAGTCAGCCACTGGCAGCGACTGGTGACCTGCCAGTGGCAGCTCCTGTGACCTGCCAGTGGCAGCTCCTGTGACCTGCCAGTGGCTGACTGGCAGCTGCCAGTGACAGCTGCCAGTCAGCCACTGACGGGTCACGTGACCTGCCACTGCCAGCGACTGGTGACCTGCCAGTGGACCTGCTGCCAGTGGCAGCTCCTGTGACCTGCCAGCTGTCACTGGCAGCTGCCAGTCAGCCACTGACGGGTCACGTGACCTGCCAGTGGACCTGCCACTGGCAGCGACTGGGGACCTGCCAGTGGCAGCTCCTGTGACCTGCCAGTGACAGCTGCCAGTCAGCCACTGACGGGTCACGTGACCTGCCACTGGCAGCGACTGGCGACCTGCCAGTGGACCTGCCACTGGCAGCTCCTGTGACCTGCCAGTGGCTGACTGGCAGCTGCCAGTGACAGCTGCCAGTCAGCCACTGACGGGTCACGTGACCTGCCACTGGCAGCTGCCAGCAGTAGTGGTTCAATCTTCAACTGGCTGGCAGGAGCTGCCACTGGCAGCCGCCAGTCAGCCACTGGCAGCGACTGGTGACCTGCCAGTGGCAGCTCCTGTGACCTGCCAGCAGTGGCTGACTGGCAGCTGCCAGTGACAGCTGCCAGTCAGCCACTGACGGGTCACGTGACCTGCCACTGGCAGCTGCCAGCAGTAGGGGTTCAATCTTCAACTGGCTGGCAGGAGCTGCCACTGATGCCGTGTACTGCCAGTCGGATCACGGCCATTTGACTATTAAATTGCGATCCTACTACTAATAACAATAATTTCAACAGATACATAATAAATGAGCTATAAAGGGAGGAAAACAAAACACAAATACTGTCAAAAATCAATGGTTTCTGAAACTTGCCAAAGGCAGACTGACAGACAACCACTGGCAGCTGCAAGTCTGACACTCACAGGCAGGCAAATTTGACTGGTTTAATCGGGATAAACGGCCCCAAAAATACCAATCATACACAAGAATAAAGGCATGACATTATATTCATAATAAGAAATTTTTTATTTCCTTTCAGCGAGAGTGTCAGGCAACGCATTATATTCGCTGGTCACCCGCAGCTGGCTGGATGAGCGTCCAGCAAGCGTCTGCAAGCTGCCAGTCGGATCACGGCCATTTGACTGGTGTAATCGGGACAACAGTACCCAAAACACCAATCATACACAAGAATAAAGGCATGAAATTATATTCATAATAAGAAAACAATTTATTTCCTTTAGCGACTGGCAGCTGCCAGTTTTGACAGTTTTGTGCCAGTCAGCCAGGTCACGTGACCTGTCAGTGGCTGACTGGCAGCGACTGGCAGCTGCCAGTGGCAGGTCACGTGACCTGTCAGTGGCTGACTGGCAGCTGTCACTGGCAGCCGCCAGTCAGGCACTGGCAGCGACTGGTGATCTGCCAGTGGCAGCTCCTGTGACCTGCCATTGGCTGACTGGCAGCTGCCAGTGACAGCTGCCAGTCAGCCACTGACGGGTCACGTGACCTGCCACTGGCAGCTGCCAGCAGTAGGGGTTCAATCTTCAACTGGCTGGCAGGAGCTGCCACTGGCAGCCGCCAGTCAGCCACTGGCAGCCGCCAGTCAGCCACTGGCAGCGACTGGTGAGCTGCCAGTGACAGCTGCCAATCAGCCACTGACGGGTCACGTGACCTGCCACTGGCAGCTGCCAGTCAGCCCCTACTGGAGTGGGGGTTCAATCTTCAGTTATTAAACCAGTTATTAATTCACGTGACCTGCCAGTGGCTGGCTGGCAGCTGCCAGTGGTTGTCTGTCTATCTGCCTTTGGCAAGTTTCAGAAACCATTGATTTTTGACAGTTTTTGTGTTTTGTGTGCCTCCCTTTATAGCTCATTTATTATTTATCTGTTGAAATTATTGTTATTAGTAGTAGGATCCCAATTTAATAGTCAAATGGCCGTGATCCGACTGGCAGTACAGACGCTGCTGGACGCTCATCCAGTCAGCCGCGGGTGATCAGCGAATATAACGCGTTGCCTGACACTCTCGCTGAAAGGAAATAAAAAAAAAATTCTTATTATGAATATAATGTCATGCCTTTATTCTTGTGTATGATTGGTGTTTTGGGTACTGCTGTCGCGATTAAACCAGTCAAATGGCCGTGATCCGACTGGCAGCTTGCAGACGCTTGCTGGACGCTCATCCAGCCAGCTGCGGGTGACCAGCGAATATAATGCGTTGCCTGACACTCTCGCTGAAAGGAAATAAAAAATTTCTTATTATGAATATAATGTCATGCCTTTATTCTTGTGTATGATTGGTATTTTTGGGGCCGTTTATCCCGATTAAACCAGTCAAATGTGCCTGATCACGGCCATTCACAGGTCACGTGACCTACCAGTGGCAGCTCCTGCCAGCCAGTTGAAGATTGAACCCCTACTGCATCAACGTTGAAACATTAGAGAAAAAGGGTGCCCACCTGATGACCCCAATGACGTACCTACCCTCCCATATTTGATGACATACCTGTCTCTCATAACTGCAATCTGGTGCTGTGTTTTAAAAAAACTTAAAAAGGAGTACAGGAGTTCTCTATGTAGTACAGCATTACAGAGGGTTTAAAAGCTTGGTTCTTCTTCTATGCAAAAATTCTCATGACGTTTACATATGTAATTCCTGTAGTGGATTTTAATAGCCCGTTTCTGGCATGCGCAAAATTCATTACAGAAGTTAAAAACCTAGAGATAATATTATCACGGTAGTTTTATGTTAACAAGTATACGTGTTGAGTTGATATAGAGTCTTGACCCACAGACTTCCATTATAAGTGTATTACTGAACACGTAACGTGTTTACTTTAACAAACTGAGGGAAGAGTTTAAACGATTTTGTTTTAATAATCTCTTTTTTTTAAAAAAACCTGTAACATTGACATTGTATTGATTCTCATTTCTTCCTGTAGGATGTGTCAAACACACTGACGTGCCATTCCAGTTACCGCTGAATAGATCATCCAAGTACATAACGTTACTGAACCAATGGTGCTATCTTACAATTAAAGCTCAACGCCTACATTAAACTCGTTTCCTTGCGCGAATGTTAAAATAACGTTAGAGTACTGCTAAGTTAACTCTGTTCACATAACTAGAGGAGGAGCTCACATTGATTCACCCTGTCTGTCGCTTTTCAATCACAAGTCTCAATTCTGCTCATCCATTAGCTACACAAATATATCAACGCACAGACTCCACAACATTGCCCAGACGGCTGGGTAAGACAGAATAAACTCCTACCCGACTCGTTCATCACATTCATCCCCCTCGATGTCAACAACATCCAACTCGTCTGCCATATTTGTTGCGGATGTGAGTGTGTGAGAGAAGAGACAGTGCCAAGAGGAGGGTGTTTGTCACAGCGCCACTCACTGGCAGGAGGAAGCTACTCATCCACCATTGCCTACATCACCCCACCCGAGGAGGGATTGAATGAAAACGAGTGAAACCTAGCAAACTGGTAGCTCCAGTAGTAATGAAAATATTTATTATAGCTCTGTCATGGAAACTAGCCTGTTAGTTAACAGTTAACCTTAGTTAAACGATTTAATAATAATAATAAAAAAGGAATTTATAGCTGTATGATATTACGATGTACCCACATTGGACCAGCGGTTTGCACAGCCCCACTTGTCGAACACAAATTACTGTAGGCATCAGTGTTTTATCTTGTGTAATAATACCAAGAAAATAAGTTTACAATTTGAACATTTTAAAGCAGGCATTTTAATCCCCTTTTAAAATAAAATCCCAAAATAACAATTTTGCAAAATGCAAATAGTGCCCTATAAAGCGATTTCGGACACAGCCATAGTATGATGGGCAATTTGCACTAATTGACATTTTGAGGCAATAAATAAATAAATAAAAATCGAAATTTGTGGTTTAATGGTCTAGTAACTCCGAGGGCTATTTCACAAAATCAAGATAGCGGATTAAGCCGGGATTTTCCAGATATCCTGGCTGAATTAAGCCGGGACTCGGTTTCACGAAAGCAGTAGCACATAAGTTACCATGGCGATTTATTCTGTGCAGCTAGCCTGCTCCAGACCAGGCTAACAGCCAGGCTTAGTCAATCGTGCCTTATCTGTTCAGTCTGCCGTCACGCCGATCAGAAACCAATGTGTTTTGTCGGTTATTCCGTTTTGTCATCTATGTGTTCAGCGCAATTTTATCAGCCTGCATTAAAATACCTCAGAGATACATATTGGCATTCAGTCAAGTATAGCCTACTATTATTACAACATTATGATGGTAGCCTACCATTATTAACTATAATGTTCTAAGTTTGACAGATAGGTCTTTAATAGGCTATTGTGTGTGATGAGGGAATTAGAGATATGGCTGATAAAGAAGCAAAAGTTTTGTCAATCAAGTCAGGCAATATAAGTATAGCTCTAAACACATGTTTCGTCCTTTGGCATGCCCATTTTTGGATGACATCTGATGAAGCACTTATATTGAGAAGGCCTTTCAGACGTGAAAGAGTGTTTCGGGACAGGTCCGACCCATTGGCTTTTCCCGACAATTACCTGCAAGAGTGTTAGGGTGGAGTGGGGGAAAACGCCCCCCTTAAGGAAAATGTGACATTACTGTAAAACAAAACATAAATGTGACTAGAATTGCCATCCCAGTTTTGAGTGTCTTTGGCAGGAGTTTTTACCAAATATTAAAATTGCTCAACCTTCATAATTATTATTTTTTTGACTGAAAATATGGGGTGGGGTAAAATGCCCCCTTTCTTACCAACCAGTTTCCTTCATAGATCAACAGCAAAATGAACATAATTTTTAATCTCTAAAAGTAAAAGGCAAGTAATGCAACAGCATAATATATATATACCTATTAATATTTATTTCAGGAATGTACAAAACAGCCAAATTTCTAACATTTGAATATTTTGATTTCTACACGAGGCCTATAATTGATGTAGTATTTGTTCATCACTATCATCAAGAAAAAGAGAAAACCCTAAATAAATATTAAACATAAATTAGTATATTAATAGTGAAATATATTACATAAATGCATTAAAAGTCACTGTGTTTTATCATTGGGTCACCTAACCACCTTCCATCATTGCATTCACCAAGCTAGCTAATGCTAAATTTTTTCATGTTTTGTTCAAATATTTTGATTTTACCGCCTAGTTATACTGCATTAAAGTGTAAAATAAAGACTTTGATGAACAGAAATATGTTACTGTAGTAATTATGATAAAGAGAAACTATGCCCCTTGGGGGGCGTTTTCCCCCACTCTACCCTACTGCTTTTGGATGGAATCTGCTACCTGTGCAGACTGTTGGGTCCCAAAATTTTATCAGACACTTACCAGTTTTTTAAGTAAGTAATGAAATCACAGTAACTAATTACTTAGTAATTAGTTACACCCAACACTTGAAGTATGGCGCACGTAACTTATCCATTGTAGCATCAATGAATCTGTGATGGACTGTGTGGTCTGTTGAAGAAAGCTGTCGACTCCCACTTATCTGAACTACTTACACCTGGCTTGACATAGCCGCTCCTCCTGAGCCTGGTTTGGCCTTTGTGAAACTGATAAAGCCAGGATGCACTGATCACACTAGGTCAAGCCTAGCTTTATCTCTTATCCTAGATTTCTAAATTCTGCTTTTGTGAAACAGCCCTCTGGTCCACTGAAATCAAAGATAAACTTCTGGGTTTTTGTTGACTCCAAATGTTATTAAAATTTTGCCTTCTCTGTTTTGTGATCATACATTTATACTTCTGTCATTTGACATTTCCTCCTCTCATTCAAGATCACAAAGTTCCTATTGGAAGTTTAATTCTTCTGCTTTATTAGAGGATTAGCATGTTTGTGATATCTTAGTAAGCTAATACTTTTTTACGGAGCATAATGCATCAGGCTACGTTACTTTTGCTTTACATTTTCTCACCTGGGCTGGGCTTTGTTTTTCTTTTTAATAAAAAAAGGAAGTTATATTTATAGCACATGTAAAGACAATTTCAGACCAAAAGTGAAAAGAATAATAATTTAAGCGATTATTTTTGGCTTCCAGGCCGAAAGCGTGACTTTCTCACAGAAAATTATTTTGTGTCGCATTTATAACATTATTTATAATCTATTAATGAATTATATTTCTAATAATGTCTTAAAATATAATTATCTCTCTACCAAGCTTTGATAATGTATGGAATATTAAGAAGTTTTATTTATTTAGCTCTTTTCCATAGCTCAAGCTTGTACAACTGAACGCACATATATCACAAACGCACAAGTCCACATGCAGCCACATTATCGAAAATAAATATCAAACAGATATGTTTTTAGCTGGGTCTTGAAAGTAGATACAGAAGAAATGTTACGGAGAGGGTTTAAGATGTGCAAGAACTAGTACTAAGGTAGACTGCAATAAAAAATCAATGGGCAACTGAAATATTTACAGCGGTCCTCCTCTCCTCCAGAAACCTCTTCAGTAAAAATAAAAATGCCAGACGTTTTGAATCATTGATATTTTATTGTGTTTCTCCTCAGAGGGTCAGTCTGGTAGCTGAGCCCGTCTCTTACAGGAATGAGAGGTGGTGTTACACTAACATCTCGTCATCTCTCACACATCTACCCACAGCACATACACACCTTAGTAAACTATCACAAACTGGTTAATGTGATGCGTATATGACCGCCCTGTGTGACAATTACACATGATTATGGTGATCCACTCACATGAACATCTAGTGTGTGTGTTTTTTAAGTTACAGTTAGTGTGACATGGACATCACAATTAGTTTGGCATGGCATCAGGGGAACTAGGAGAGCAGGATTTGAGCAGGCAGGAACCTGTGCGCTCTGGACTGTCTCTCTCTCTCTCTCTCTCTCTCCCTCCAGGCAGATCAGCAAGCACTAGTGATATTCACAACGATAACTGCAAAACAGCCACAAGTTAGAGGCAATATCAGACACATGAAGACTCTGGTCAGATGTGTGACAATTGTCGGTTTACCTTCTCTGTCTCACTGGTAGAATTTGATCTCAGCGTCCACGCAGTCGAAGAACAGATCCCCGAGCTCCTGGCCCTGTATCTCCCCCTTCAGCATGGCCTCGATTTCCTCAAGACATTGAGACTCCAGGTATCTCATAGTCTCCTGTAGAGAGACTCCAGCATCCTGGAGACACACACACATACACATACACACTTGTTTTTATATCATTATGCAGACTTTCCATAGACTTGATTTTTAAAATGTTTTGTTCATAGGCTCAAACTGAGCAAAAATACAGTTCATTTTTGACCATATAAATGTCAGCAAATGTATCAATTAGATTTTTATCACCAGGGTTTAAAATGAATACCTGCCAACCCGCCAAATGCAGGTAAAAATCAATGTGGCTGTCAAATCACTAGCCAATTTTGCATCTGTTATGCTTACTTAGTTTGCTGGGGAAGTTCATGTAAGCCAAATCTGCACATGTCTGGCTTACTTGAACATGCCCGTCACTGAGCAACAAATAATGGCGCGCTTGTTCATTTGCATTGAAGCAATAGTGAAGATTAAAAAGCATTTGGTTAACAGAAAGGACAATGTTATTTTCCAACATCCTACATTTTTTGATGTTCTTAAGAAATGCATCTATGCATATTTATATATATATATATCCTCTGTTGAACACAAAAATAGATATTTTGAAGAATGTAACCAAACAGTTGATGGACGCCATTGACTTCCATTGTATATATTAAAAAAATATAAAATTTGGATACCAACTAAGGGTGTCACGATTTCGGTTTTAAATCGAAATTGACCAGATAAGGAACTCCCGCACACTATCATTACTTGCACTTTTTAATCAAGTTTATTCACACACAACGTTTCGGTCACACGACCTTCGTCAGGAGTATACAAAATGTTCTATAACATCTCTTTTTAAATGTGTACATGACCACTCCACAGAACTCCATCTGTAAACAATTAAGCTCATTAGGAGTACATAATTAGCCCCACATCACAGACAACTACAAATTGTAATAGATAACAAAATTAGTTAAAGTCACCCCGTAGACAAAAAAAAACTATGCCCCTGAAAGACTGTACCATAACGAAATGCGGTTAAAAATGCATGGTTCTACACTGAGCGAATATTGGAGGAACAAGAGAATCCCACGCGGTCTGAGAATTCCAAAACCTCCTACATTGTGCAAACAGAACAAACTGTTTTTAAAGAGATGGAGCGAGATTCTTAATAAGTGTTCTATGGATTTGATGCTTCTGATTGTGGAACAAGTATCTGCTGATGTACATGAAACCCATGAAAAAATCGTCCTACTTGAAGAAAAGATTAAATCCAATTCCCACATTGACTT